AAAAAACATGCGTAGACATTAACTGAATTTCCGATACGTGATTCGCAGCCCCACCCCCAATCAATCACTTTGATAAATTAGACATTGATCGGCAACTGTCAATATGGTTATGTTTATAAAACAGAGTTTACACGGGATCTCTGTATCATATGTCCGCGTAGGACTCTTGGGTACTGCCGTGAAGACCCCTTAAAGAAACACTAATTCATTCGCATCAGTGAGTGCGAAAGGAGAGAATGAGGTTTAATAGCCCTATCATGAACATCTCCTAGAATCGAATTACCCTACTCTACCCTGGGTACTATTGCGCAATTTTGGCATTTTCTGACGCAGGAAAATACGGAGACTGAATTGTACTTACATAGGCAGTTCGGAGATGTAGTGGGTGTGAAGAAATCTCTCCCCCCCACCCACCTCAATACACAAACACACACATTTTCAAGCTAGTGCAACTGGACGACTTAGATTTTTATTTAAGTATAAGATAGTAAAGTGTGGTAATAGAGAGAGYTTGGGCTTACTGTGCAGTGAAAATGACAGCATTTTTTCCTTGTTTGTTTGTTGTATATTCAGTCTTCTATGGCAGAGGTAAAAGCTCAGCAAAGTAAAAGAAAGGAAAGAGGCAGGGAAATAGATGAACTGCGCAAAAAGATAGAGGTAAGTTGAGTTAAGGTATACTGAGTGCATATTGTGTAGGTGGGTTAACAGGGGTAGGAGTTGAGGTAAAATGAAGTGAGGCATGGTAGGTTAGGGTATATTGTGTAGAGTGAGGTAAAGTGTGAGTTGAGGTAGGATAGCTGAGGAGATATGAGTTGATCTAGGGTAACGTGACGTAGGGTAGGGCAAGGTGAGCTGTGAATAGAGGTAGGATAACTAAGGTAAGGTAAGGTGTGAGTTGAGGTAGGGTGAGGTAGGGTAGGGCAAGGTGAGCTGCGAGTTGAGGTAAGATAACTGAGGTAAGGTGAGGTGTGAGTTGAGGTAGGGTAACGTGAGGTGGAGTAAGATGGAGCGTGAGCTGAGGTAGGCTAAGGTAGCGTGATGTAATATAGGGCCGAGGTGAGGTGAGGTGACTTGTGAGTTGAGGTAAGATTGTACGCGACAGGTCACCAGGCCCAGATGATTTGTCCGAGAGTAACTGGGTACTATTGCGATAGAACTAAGATAGTTAACACAGCACGTGAACTTTAGTTATGAAATTTAGTTATCAAGAGGAATATTGGAGATTAATATTGAGTTTTTTGGGGGGTTCGATAGGGACACATTTGGTAAGTCTATTATAGCTTGTATTAGATTACACAGATTGATTCTAAGAATCTCTTTGATTGTATTTATATAGTGAACCGCATCGATAAAATATGTAAGTGATTTAATTCATTTATTCTATTTATTCCGCTTTCGTCCTCTTTTCTAGGAAGGAAAAGAAAAGACAAAAGAAAGCATCGACATGTTGACAAAAGAGCTGACATTGGTAGAAAAGACACATAAAATTGTCAAGGATGCTGAAAACGAAAAGGAGCAAAGGAAAAATAAACGAAAAGCTTCAGGTTAAATGCATTGTAAAACAACAAAACTGTCTTAGTTTTTAGTTTTTTGTTCGTATATTTTCGTTCTTTACCTCGCTTCCTACTTAATAATCAGTCACTTTTTCTATCTGTCTGTCTGTCTGTCTGTCTGTCTGTCTGTCTGTCGGTCGGTCGGTCGGTCGGTCGGTCGGTCTGTTTGTCTCTTCGGTTTGCTTATTCATTTTACCTTTTGTTTTTTCACTTGTTCTCTAGATTATTCGTTTGTTTATTTGTTTGTCTAATCATTATTTTGTTCGTTAATTCGTCGTTTGTTCAATCCTTCGTTCTTTTATTTGTTGTTTCTTTGGTTCGTTTCTTCGTTCCTTTTTTCGTCGTTCAAACGGTCGTTCCTTCGTTCGTCGTTCCTTTATTTTATTTTTTTGTTGATTCCTTCATTCGTCCGTCCCATGCTTCTTTCTTCCCTTCGGCTTTCCTTTTCTTTCCGTTTTCATAACTACGCGACCTAGACTGCTCCAGACATCTGGCACTTAATTCTTCTGGAATAATAATGATGAAAAGGTAAATTATACACCGTGAAAAGATGAAAAAACTTACTGACGTTTCGGACGACTAGCGTCCGAAACGTCAGTAAGTTTTTTCATCTTTTCACGGTGTATAATTTACCTTTTCATCATTACTGTTTCATTAGAAACACCGACGCAG